ACTAAATCTTGTAGTCCATCTGAGGACAGGACAGTCCCGTTTAGGTAAGGCTGGTTGCAAGCATAATTTGAATCCTTTCCCTTTTTTTTCTTCTCTTTTGAGATGGTGATTGATGTCAATCTGTCAGTTTTTTTGCACAAACAATTTATGTCAATTTGTGGAAAGTTGTGTATCTGTGGACCTCAGTATTGCATTAGCATGAAATTATTTTCCTTTACTCAGTTCTATAACTCAATTAAAACTAAGATATCCATAGAATAAGTTAACAATGACCTTTTCTTTTCTTTTTGTAGAGGATTCCAAAGAGCAATGGTAAAGTCAATGTCTCTGGCTGCTAAAGTCCCACATTTTCATTATGTGGATGAGATAAATTGTGATGCTCTAGTGGAGCTTAAAACATCTTTTCAGAAAAATAATCCTTATCCAGACATTAAGTACACTTTCCTTCCAATATTAATCAAATCACTATCGATGGCCCTTAGTAAGTACCCCTTTATGAACAGTTGCTTCAAAGAGGACGCACTGGAGGTCGTTCTCAAAGGTTTGTTTCTCAGACATAATCTGACGAATAATTCATATATTTTTGCTTCCTTTTTAGCTTCTTTATGTTTAGGTTTTTTGTAGTGAACATAATGTCTTTTTCTTTAGTTAAAAAGTACAAATTCAAGGAGCAAGCTACAATTATTTAGAAATTGAAAATATGGTCACGTCAAATATTTTCCCTTCATTAGCCAACTGTCGCTTTTGTTTTATGGCACCTGCTTCTACATGTTCAAAATAATCTTCAAATGACCTACCAAGTTTTTATGCATATTGGTTTCTGGCGCATGGTGTTAGTGATTGAGAAGTTTTACCTTGTATACTGTATCTAAGAGTTTAAAACAATGATCATCTTGATAATATTTTTAAATATTGTTTCGTAACACCTGTAAGTACATGGTATTAAACCTTTTTCCAGTTTGTGTTGACTGATATCTGGTGGCTGTCAATTTAATGATTTATTTGAGGCAGTAGCTTCCGTGCTAAAGTTTACACAGAGGTTTATTTACTGTAGGTTCACACAATGTTGGAATTGCCATGGCGACACAACATGGTCTAGTTGTGCCAAACATAAAAAATGTCCAGTCTCTTTCCATACTCGAGGTTAGTTTCCAAAGGCTTGGCTATGGTTTTATCTATTTTTTCTTTATTCAGCCATTCTTGTTTTGGTTGAAGTGCATGTCCATGCTTGCTGTTTAGTTACAGGCCACGATAAAAAATGTTCATGATTTGAATTGCTTGAAAGAAATATAATTTTATTCATCTTGACCTAAGTTTCTGGCTTGAGCTTAATTGTTGGTTTTCTGAAAGCTGCTTCTTCTTATAAGAAACGAAGAGACTATTTTTTAAGATTCCTTTAGTTTTTTAATAAATAATTTCAGATTTGGTGATAAAGCCAGGTCGTTGTTGTTTCCTTTGATGCACATCTGTTTGCATAGCGTCCCAGAGCATGTGTATATGATGTTTAGTGCATGTGATAATTATAATCATATGTCTCACATCTAGTAAGACATTATTGTGCGTGTTCTTATTAATCTATTTTTCCATGTACATGATTTTTATGTAGATAACCAAAGAGCTGGCAAGGTTACAACAATTGGCTTCAAATAACAAGTTAACTTCTGAGGATATATGTGGTGGTACTATTACTTTAAGCAACATTGGAGCAATTGGTGGAAAGTTTGGTTCCCCACTTGTCAATCTGCCTGAAGTCTCCATTATTGCCATTGGTAAAATTCAGAAAGTTCCACGGTTCGCCGATAATGGAAATGTGTATCCTGCATCACTCGTGACTGTAAGTCTTGCATTTTGCATTATAGAGAGAACTACGATAATCTCCGACGATTTTTTTGTTTGTAGCGTTCCACTTTATATACGACTGTTTAGTTTGTCATTTCGCTGAAGAGAAATAAAAAAATGAGATTATAGAGAATACCCTAATTTAGCTGTTAAAAAGGGCTTCATAGCTAGTTAGTTTATGTTTACTTTTACCGCAAATTCAGCGTTTGTAGTTCTATTGTATTCATCGCCACACTTAGTCGTATATAGGTTGAATTTGCATTGAACAGAGTAGTTCATTGTTTGCTTGACAAAGTAAACACAGATTTGAACTTTGAATTCTTTTTTTTTTCCAACTAAATGCTATTATTTATAATGATTTTTGCACGGGTTAGAAGATGAAAGGAACAGCAATTCCTTATTTGTTTTTCTGCTTGCAGGTTAATATTGGTGCAGATCACAGAGTCTTGGACGGAGCAACCGTTGCAAGATTTTGCAACGAGTGGAAGCAACTAATTGAAAATCCCGAGCTCCTCACTCTGTATTTGAGATAAAATTTCATCATATGAATGAACAGTTACTGAAATTGTTACTTACATGGTTGATCGCTGTATTGTTTACAATGAGAAGTATAACCAGAGAGAGCATTTAAAATACGACAAAATGAAGGTATTAATAATTTAGTGATGTGCATATCCAAGTTTGGTTTGAGAGGTAGCAGAGGGACAATTGTAGCCATTGCTTCTTTGAAAAAAAAAAAACAAACTGTTTGGAGAATAATGTTTTTTGCGTATCTCAACTGCAAATAATACACCTGCGAATCGTAAAAGACGCTACGTAATGAACAATATGTTAATAAACTGCTTTTGTCGTGCAGTTTAAACTTTATATGTATTTTCACTTCTCACAACTCAAGAAATGAATTATTGTTTATTTCTCTCTTCTTTGTACGTCGACATATTTTGCAAAAGATAGATGATAAGATATTTTATACTTTCTACATAATATTTTTTTATTAAATATTATGACTATGTGCGTTTTTATTAATGAATACTGATAGGAATTATTTTGGAAATAGTTAAAATAGTAAATTTGTTACATTAGTAATATTTAAAAATTTAAAAATAGTGATAAAATTAAATGGATTTATTAGTTTAACTAGTTTATATTCAATATTAGATGGAGTATTACTAAACTTTAGTTTCAAGTCTAGGTTAATATACTTGTAGTAATAATGATATCTGTTTGAAATATGTGTGAAAGAAGGGAAAAAGAAGGAGCGATAGAAAATATAAAATAAACGTTTACTTTTCTTGTTATAATAAAAATAATGAGAAAAGTGGTATGATTTTTTAGTCCTTTCTAATTTGGAAAGAGAATAAGAAAGTATAAGGTTTAATTATTTTTTTTTGCTTTCTACTTTGTTTAAATAATTTAAATAGACATGTAATTATTATTTGGTGCAGACAAGTCCATTTATTTTTTCTAAAAATAATCACTGTTAGATTTTTTTTAATGCTGTATTTATATATATTAAATAGTATTTTCAATTTTTTTCACTGTTTTTTAAAAACATTGTCACTTATCATTAGTAGTGTTATGTTAGTTCATGGATATGTGTCATGTAATAAAATTATTTTCTATATTTTAAATTTGACTCAATTTAATATTATTTTTTAAAATAAATTAATGTTATGTGTTTTGTATTGATTGATCGGTCTACATCTATCGGTTATCGATCCTATATTAAATTAACTTTAGGAAAAATCACAACTGGGTCAACCAAAATGTTAACTATAATGATTAGATAGTTCAGTTCAAATATTTCACCTTTTTATTAATAAGGTAAAAACATACTTAAATTATATTTAGTCACAATTGAGTCGGTTGTAATCAAAAGTTCATTTCGAAACCTATAAATACAGAAGTAAAGTAAAGAGATAGATAAATGCATTTATTGGACATTTAATACTTAGTTGTAATAACCAACCCTAACTTAAATGTCTAAATAACTTTAGCAAGTATTACTGAAACAATATCCTTTTTCATATTAATAATTGAGTTTAATTATAATTTATAATACATGTTATTTTTTTAATTTATACATCAAATCAATGTTAAAATTAATTTTATTTTATACTGTTTTAATTTTAAGAAAAAATCATTATTTTGAATTTATAAAATTTTAAAAATATTAAAAGTGTAAATATAAAATTACACTTAATAATTATTAAATTTTTATATTTGAAATAATTAAAAAATATATATTTTCCTTGGTTAGTTTATTTGTAAATTTATAAATTTAATATAACAAATATATTTACATGTTTTAATTTAATATAATAAATTTAAAGTAAGGATTTTTAAAAATTAAAAATATATAGAATAATATTAATTTTAATATTTAGGTTGAATAATTTAATATATAAATTTAAAAATTTATTTTAATATATAAGTTATAATTAACTTTTAACTTTTTAAGAAAAAGAATATATTTTATTAAAATAATAAAATCAAATTAAGTTAAAATTTTAAATATAAAGATAAAAGAGAATGAAAACTTCAAATATAAAACTGAATTAAATAAATAAAAAGATCACAAAGATCACAGTGACATGTTGTCACGATGGCATTATAATTACGTAACATGTAACCTACACGTGACCAAAACGTTTAAAAATATAGTGAAAATAATAAAAAAAATAAAAAAAATTAAAAAATAAGGAACTCAGATGCAACATGGAAGGACACGACATTAATGTCATTAATTTTACATGTACTGAATAAATACAACTCCTACATTATCATCCCTACTCCCAAAAGGACTTTCTTTTCGATACTTTATCTATTCATTCTTTTAAATGATTTAATTTGATTTTTACCTTATAAATTAAACCAATTTCACGTGCTTTTTTTAAGATTAACCCTGTTTCTAGTAAGTATATTTGTATATTTATTAATTTAATATTTAAACTTGAAATATGACGAGTACAGTTTATCCTCTCTAAAATCTTGTAGTATTTTCTAAAGTTAAAAAAATAGGTTCATAAATGTAAAATAATACGATGAACTTAAATACAGCTATTAAAAACATTTTCTAAAACAAAAATAAATAAATAAATAAATAAGTAGGTCCTTAAATTAGTTGGGTTTGAAATGAGTCGAAATTGAGATCTTCAAAGAAGAGAAAGCAGAGAAGCTAAAAGGGGAAGAAGAGGAGTTTGGATAGAGCGAGAAGGGAGAGAAATGGCAGCGGTAGCTAGTCAGAAGCTTCTGGAATTGAGCACCAAGATCGTCGCTGTCGGCAGAAACTACGCTGCCCACGCCAAAGAGCTTGGCAACGCTGTTCCCAAGGTACCTTCTCTGTCTCATACACAAATTCCCTTTTCTATCTTTCATAATCATCTAATTACGGATTGCAAGTGTTTTTTTCGATTCTCAGGAACCCGTCTTGTTTATCAAACCGACGTCGTCTTACTTGAAAAACGGCGGAATCATCCAAATTCCACACAACGAAGGCTCTCTGCACCATGAGGTTGAACTTGCTGTAGTCATCGCCAAGAAAGCGCGTGATGTGTCAGAATCCTCTGCCATGGATTACGTCGCTGGTATTTACTCATCTTAACTTAACCCTTACTTGTGTGCCTTATTGTTATTTTACTTTAGATCTCTCTCAATATCCTAGTCCTGTTTCTTTTGCTTCTAAGAAAATTATGGTAAATAATATACTCTGCATATCAAAGGGTGTTTTCATAAACTTTTCTTTGAACCTTTTTTAAGGACAAAAATTATATTTGTTTTCTCATAAGCTAAAATTAGTTTAAGTATGAGTTAATTTCTAGACATTTTCTCATTTCGGCTTTTGTAGATGATTTTTAGCTTAAGCTTATGCTAGTTTGAGCTTATAATATTTTATTCTAGTTTTTCTTTTTGTATTTTTCTGTTAAGAAATACTTTAAAGTTTATTCAAAACTATGAAAGTTTGACTCTCGTCCAACTGCTATGAATAGGAAGTTTATGGCCTTTTACTAATATTGCTTTAGAAGTCACTTTCTTTGCTTGGCTGATAATGTAAAAATGGTACTTAGAAATCAACTCTTGTTATAATACCAAAGAAAGTTGGTACAGTTGGTAAGGATTTGAACTCCTTTGAAAAAACATCCCCCATTACTGATGACATTTTTAGTGAGTAATCTGTTAGTGGTTTTATAAGCACTCATGAATCACGTGGCATGCCCTGGTTTGGGTAGTCCACAGAGTGCAACTCACCTAAACTTTCATCAAGTAAAAAAGCTACTATCACAATGGATAAATAAAGATGGGTACATTTTGGTGTATCAGGTTATGCACTGGCTCTGGATATGACTGCTAGGGACCTTCAAACTGCTGCAAAGGTATTTTGGAAGTTAACTGCAATCAAGCTTTTTGAAAATTATTTTTTCTATGTACCAGAAAATAAAGAAAAACCATGTAAACCAATTGGAGTTAAAATGACGGGATGTTAGCAAATGTGAAATGATTTGTGTGGGAATTCCCTGTTGTTTTTGGCACAGGTCATATTTTTCTTCTGAAATAATTTTGCACATATGATTTAGACATTGTATTTTCGTAACCTGATGAGCAATGTTTTCATTTCTTCGTTCGTTCTTAGTCTGCAGGTCTTCCATGGAGTTTGGCAAAAGGCCAGGACACTTTCACCCCAATTAGTTCAATTGTAAGAAATTGCATGCTACAATGTTATTTATGCTGAAACTATTATATAATTCTGTTAGAGAAATGAGTTCACGTGGTCCTCAATAGTTTTAAGGAGTCAAGAACTACTGAGAAAGATAATACAAATTTCAGCCGTTCGTGACTTTTTCGAGAAGATTTAATCTACATTCACCAGTATTACCCTGGAGCAGATCTGGGAGTAGAAATGTATTGCTGGTAAATTGGTGAAGCGGCGCTTTTGCAATAAAACAAGAACTTTTACCAGCTTCTTTTTTGCATAAGTAGTACTGTAGTCAATAGATATGTAATTCAGTTATACCCTTTATTCTAAGAAGGTGAAATTTAAAATTCTACAACTAATGGATGAGACCTGTGCACCTGTGAATATTATTTTACTCATCTACTTAGATAACGAGCCATATTATTCAACTGTATTTTCTTTATGCAGTTGCCAAAGACTGCAGTGCCAAACCCTGACGATATAGAATTATGGTTAAAGGTTTGAGATATTCTATACTTCTCTCATTATCATTTGGTTGGTTCTAATATAATTGATTTTGTATTACTTCAATGATGCATTAGAAACCCAAACTAATTGAAGAGAAATGGACTTGCTTTGATATAGGTAGACGAGGAAATTCGGCAAAAGGGCTCAACCAAGGACATGATCTTTAAGATCCCTTTTCTAATTAGCTATATAAGCTCTGTAATGACATTGTTTGAAGGAGATGTTATACTAACTGGTATGTTTCATTAATTCTCTATCTGCATATTTATACTTATGTGTTAGTTTAATTGATGAAAAAAGGTCAATAGTAATATTAGCACACTGTGTGTCATTTAACCTATCATTCGGACCAATGAGAATTGATCCAACTGATAGAATCGAGCATTCTTGACTCAAGGGCCTTTAGTTCGTCTATAAGCCTTCCTGGAAACTTATGGCATGTCTTATTCTTGAAACGGGGCAGTCTCCGTTCTGCAAAAGTATTTGTTTAGAATGAAAATCAATGACAATGAAAAGGGTGCCATTTCTGTTTGTAGTAAGTTTGGATTGCTTCATTTGTCTTATGGTCATGCTTGTTTGTGCACTCTTAAGAAAATAAAAATGAATCGCCACAGTGGTGATGGGAAACTTTGTTATTACGACCTGGCAGTTCAGTTTAACTAGTTGAAAATGTTGGCTTGTTTATAGAAGGATTTGAACTTCGATCTTTACATATTCGATCATTGTTCTTGAGTTGGCTTGATGTTTGCACGAGTACACATTTTTAAAATAATAATAAATAATAATATCTGAATTTAATAATATGTATTTACTAACATTTAATTATTCAACTATTATTTAAAATTATTGACATTTCATCCTACACACACATATACATATATGGTATTGCAAATATAGACTTTTTGAAGTTCAAATTGAGCCTATTAAAACTGAAATATTTAATTATTGAGTAACTTGAGAGCTCGAGGTAAGTTAAACTTGAGCTGAGAAAATTGGTATTAGAGCCAAACTTAGAGTTAGGCTTAGGGTTCGACTCCCTTACAGCCCCTTTCTTTCTCCCGTTCCCTAACTGATCAAATACAATAATTTTGCAAGGATAGATGAATTAAATAGGGAAATCTGAGACCCTTGCTCAGTTAACAGACATTTTGATTATGTGCAGGCACTCCACCGGGTGTTGGACCAGTGAAAGAGGGTCAAATAATTACTGCCGGTATTACAGGCCTTGTGGACGCACAGTTCAATGTTGAGAAAAGAGCAAGGCCCATACATTCTTCATAAACCTTCGATGCCACTTCAGTTCTACAGCAGGATTCTTGCAGAAGAGAAACAGGGGGACTCAATAAAAGTTGGGTGTGCTGTTTTATTTATGGGCTCAATAAAAGATATATGGGCTTCGGAGTTCAGAGTCTACAGACACTGGGCCTAGTATTTTTTTTTCAATTTATTTATGGTCTTCGAATCGGTGCTTCAATAAGTTGGGTGTGCTGTTTTATACCGTGGATAATGGTGACTTAGCCCATGAATTAAAAAAAAATGGTCTTCAATTGTCACGAGTAGAAAGGATTTTGGTGAATTCTGCTAAACATTGTTCTTGAGTCTGCTATTTTTAACTTTTTTTTTATCTCTTTAAACACAAGCATACATGAGAATACATCCAGCAAGAGTTATCTTTGCGAATACAGATCAAGCACGCAGTGAAGGAAAAAGATGCAATCAAAGCAAGAACAAAGGAATACATGTCTAACATGACAACATCAAATTAGAATTTCTTAACGAAATCGTAGATATGTTTGGTGATCTCATCTGGCCTTTCTTGATGAACGAAGTGACCCGCCCCTTGAATTACAACTACATCCTCCAGAAGGGGCACATCTCTCTTCAATCCACCTTTGTGAATGTAATCCTTGGCTCCAGGTGAATTGTAGGTCAGGTCGAGATCACCCACAATAAACTTAACAGGAACTTTGACTTTAGCACCAGTCCACGGTGCTGTGAGCTCCCAATTTCTACAACATAAAAGTATATTAATTTTTATTATGAAAGGAAAAGGTAAAACATAAACTATAAAATTGTTGCTTGCAATTAGACTTCCATCACTAACATTATAGAAACATATACATGAACATTCGGAATAATGTGTGATGAATTTCTTTCTTTTGAATTCCATAATACTAATATTGCCATGTTTTTTTTTTTTCAAAACACATCCATCTACACATATCATATCATAAATAAGATGAATCACATGGTCATATCCAAAACTAAATAAATGTTTCAGTAGCTTTACAGATCTACCGAAATTTACGAGTTGAAATATGCGAATCGATAAAAGAAGAATATATATATATATATATATATAATGCATTTTGTTCTATCACGGTTTTCTTTAATCCAGTGCAGCGGAGGTAATATATTTAATTTAATTTTATACGTGAGGTGTATTGTAAATTTAATCCAAAATATAGGGATCTAGATTTAATTCCTATTTGTATAGTTACATCTTAAGGGAGGAAATACGAACATTCAACAGGCAAGGTCTGAAAAAAAAAAAAAGAATGTAGCAGTTGATGGTGAAGAAAGACATACAGATCCAAATTTCTGTAGTAGTTAAACCCCCCTGTGAAACCAGTCTTTTCATATTTAGTAACATAGTAATCACATTCTTCTTGAGATAGCCATGAGGGCAACTTCAAGGGAGAATCAATTGGACGATCAAAGGCTTTACCCTCAGGTAGATAAAGTGGACCAGGGTTGCGGTATGTCAGAAACTCCTTCAGCACTCTTTCAGTGCCAATCTTCTCAAACTCAGCTTCTATATTCCCAGTCTCCTGCAATAATCCACTTGAGCAACAAAACCACTTTGCAAACCATGGTTTGCCCCAACAAAAAATCATCTTTTTTTCACTTCTACTTAAACCATGTTTTGAGACCTAAAAGTTATATCCAAACATAACACATTATATATATATATATAACTAGTGCTGCCCTTGCACATCAACAGGTATATATAACTGAAACTCGTTAGAAGCAAACCGAATCACGTAAGAAAAACATAGGAGAAAACAAACCTGAAACCTGCAAATATAGTAGTCATTTCCATACACTGCTCTTAAGGTGTCAAGGGGCTTTCTCTTGGGGTTTCGGGGAGTGAAAGCGACGCTCATGTTCACAAGAGCCCTGATTCGTTCAGGGCGAAAGAGAGAAAGATACCAAGCAATCATGGCACCCCAGTCATGACCTATCACAAACACTTTCTCATTGTCGCCGGCTACCTCATCCAGAAGACCAACCAGATCGCCCACCACGTGGAGACTCGTGTAGGCGGTGGGAGAGGCCGGCACATCCGTGTCTCCGTACCCTCGGAGGTCCGGCGCCACGCAGCGGTAACCGAGGGAAGCAAGAGCTTTCATCTGGTGGCGCCATGAGAACCATAGATCAGGGAATCCGTGCATGAAGAGGATCAATGGGCCTTCACCCATCTCGGCAACGTGCATGTTTATGCCATTCACATTCACCGTTCGATGCTCCACACCCTCCATTTTTATCTCTCTATGCAGTAATCAATGGACTCTGTACCTGTGTACCCATTAACCAAGATAGCTTCTTAAATGCTTATCAAATCAAAACATCATTTCTCCTTTCGAAAGTCATAAATAATCACTTCCGCAATCTGCTTTTTAGAAACTCAAATCTTTGTAATTATGCAGAAAAATAGATAAAGCTTGATGGGTCTTCGAGAGAGGTTACACACCATACATAATAATACATATTCAACTCAAAACTCAATACACAGTAAATTAATACCACTTTTAAATAAAAATCTTAATATGATGATTTTGATTTTAATAATCAAGCAGACATCTTTGTCGGAGATTGATGGAAGGAAGCCACGAATAAAGCAACAAAACTTCTCCAATTATTTATTTCACTGTTTGTCTTTTTCCAAGAAAAGAAAAGTATCCATAGATACCAAACAGATATATCAATACCTAATATATACTTAGAAGAGAACAAAAATTATAGATTTATAGATGATAGAGTATACAAAAATTATTCATAGATGAAGACAGATAAAATATATCTATATCATAATTGAAAAAGTTATTTAACAATCATAACCACAACCCATCTTTTTGTGTTTTACTATATTATATAGTGGATAATAATAAAAAGATAAATAATATCAGTAAGTATTGAAATTTTATTTTTATATTAGTATGATAAAAGAACAATAATAATATAAATATAAATTTTAGTTTTTGAACTGGTTGATAGAACTGACTAGGTGTTTTTACCTTTTACGAATTGCAACTTGAGTTTATAAAAGAGAAAGTTATCTATTTTTCTTTTAATATATACATATAGCCGAAGAACAAGAAATTTTTAATTACCTCATCAACGAATTTAAATAAAATAATTGAAAATTTTCTGTTATTTTTTAGTATTCCGTAAAAAAATATTATTTTGTAATTATATAATTTAGAACCAATCAGATAAAGTATAAAAAATGATAAATAATTATAATTTTTTATAAAGAAGTAAAGTATAGGCACTCTTCCCAAATAATGTTATTATTATTATTATTATTATTATTATTGTGCATCACATTTATTGAGACGATAAATTTGATGTAAATTCAAACTATACAAAATAAAATTAAACTTCTTATATTTGTTAAATAAATGACAAATTTTAGGTTCACTTTAAACAATAATCTTATAAAAATAAGAGTAGAAATGCTATTCCATTATATAATATTCGTTTGCTTTTATGTTATATAAGACTATCATTGACATAAAATTTTAGTTTGTTTTTAAATATTCTTTTACTGGACTCTCAAATGATAACCAATCCAATTCAAGACAAAATTTTGCTAATGTCCGCAAATATTATTCATATAGCTTAACTTAACTAAAATCAATAGAATAGTAAAGTACATTAACAATACAAAAATGCTTAAATTACTAAAATATTAACACCGTGCTACTTTATAAGTTATTATATACAAAGATTAAATATGTTTTTTTACTTTTAGTAAAAATTAAAATTAGTTTCTCTTAAACTTTGAACTAATTTAATTCATCATATTTGTAATTACAAAAATTTAGTTTTTTTAACTAAATTTTATTAAATTTATTTAAGTTTTCAAACGCTTGATAATAAATAAAATTAATAAGATTTAGTTAAAAAAACACAAATGTAAAAATAAATTAATTATAAATTTTATTAAAAAATTAAGAGACAAAAACATATTTAATTCTAAAAATTATAAAACTCATTCATTGACTGTGATGTCTTTTTATAAGTTTATTCTTAAAATGAGATAGATCACTGAATATTAAGAAATTTTAATTTAATGAATAAAAAAATCGCATTATATTAAGAAAAGTATTTTAAAGTTAAATAAAAATTTGATTGATTCAGTTTGGTTTGGAATTAAAATAGTATGTTATTTGTGAGAGCATGGTGCCCAAATTTTGGCGACACAACCATTGTAAATGCAATGCATGATGTTTTGCTGAGTTAACTATCCCTGGACTTTGTTACTTCACCCAATAATCATAATAGATATATATCACACATTTTACGAATATCATAATCTAAGAAAACTGGCAAATAATAGTTTAATTTTTCTCCCAAAATTTCATAGCATTCTATTTCTTAAACTATGGTACTAACCAAATTTAAAACTCTACATCACTAAAATCTGTGTTTATTAAGGATTGAACACCTTCAAATTCAACCAGTTCACACAGTAATCATAACAAATAAATATTCCAACTATCACATATAGTATCGGTCAAAGTTTACTGTCTCAAACATATTCAGAACGATAAACAGTTCTAACATTTAAAAATATGTTAAGAATGGAACATGCTTGAAGTCGGTCCAAAACATTCTAAACAAATAACATTAACGTACAAATATTATTATATCTAACTTCAGTGTCTTTCATCAATAAAATAAAACAAAACCAAGAATATGACGTCAACAGAGCAAGGAAACACAAGATAAAAAAAAAAATCAAGAAAGTTAACTACCATAATCCAAATTGGTACATGAGAAATAGAATATATGCGCATAATCTAATTCTGACATAAGAAATAAAGTATGTACAATACGGCATTTTATTCAATGATAAATCAAGCCAGAGAAAACAATTTGAGATATCTTATCAACAATTTCTCATACTTTTCATAGTTCATTTAAGTTTATATACAATGTTTATAATCATCACTTGCCCAAATGCATGCATTATGAAATGACCAACTAAAATACTTACAAAAATTGAAGAAAACATTTATAAGGAAGAAAACAAAAACTCGTTTTCAAAATCACTACAAGTCATTTAATAAATTGCTTTTCTTGAATGATTTTGTTATTTGAAATTAATTATTTTGGCTTCACCTTTATTTCTTATGTCAATTCAGCGATTGATCTCATTTGCTTACACATTGTGCAAGCTTTGAGGTAAAAAAAAATAGAAAAATATATTTGAGATGAAGAGGAGGGAAAAGAAACGAGGTTATCTGTAAAGTGAAGTGATTGCTTAGAAAAAAAAACGAAAGAGAAAGTAACAAGTGAAAAAGTTACAACAAAATATTTTATATAAAATATAATTTAAACAAATTGATTAATATGACAATAGGATTTAACAAATTGTACCAAACGTGTCTGGTTTAAATTTCTGCTAAACAAAGCTAAACAAGCTTAACACAAACGAATGACCCATCTTAACCAAAGAGAAAAATTCATTCAGTAAACAATAGGCCTCGAAAATTTAGTGATTAGCTCTACACACTCACGTTATTTAAAAAAATCCATTTTAGATTGGTATAATTTATTGTTTTCATCTTTATTAAAAACCCTAAATTTCAAATAAAAGGAGCATTTTACCAACCCCGCAGGTTTATGCAGAAAATTAAAATATTCGATCCCCAAGAATGTGGGCATGAGTTAACTCATTTATCTTTAACTTTTAACCCAAACAGCCACCACTACATTGAGCAGAAGTAATATTGGCTAAATGAGAAATGTACTAAAAAATTGTTTCGAATCTTAAATGTGTAATAAATAAGCTAGTATATGACATCACATTTAATCCAACCACCAAAAGATAAAATATATCAATGCCCCCTCCCCAACCGCCCTTACAGGATAGATCAACTGAGAAACGATGCATGACCAGTTCGTCATAAGTCCACTAATCAAATGCATAAATCAAAACTGAGATACCAAATTAATCATCTTGCTTTTTAATGTTCCTGAAACAGATAGAGAAAAAAAGGAAATACTTAAACACCAAAAAAAGGTTATTATAATTATATCCAATAACAGTAGCATAACTGAAAATTCATACATCAACGCTAATCAATACCGGCAGAGGAAACATTACCGTTTATACTATATAGGAATTAACTACCGGAAATTTTTCGTGGATATTTGAATAAAAAATATAAATTGTCTCTAGTGTCCTTTTCATTAAAAAATGTACTGAACTGAATTATCACACTTATCAATTGCGGCTGATAGTTGTACACTGTGATTGGGCAGCGCATAGACTGCTGCCAATACCAATAGTGCTATGATTACCGTAGCCATATACTATGATCAATAGGGAGTGCATTTCTAAAGATTGCAATCTGTTTAAACTTTCTTTTTGAATTAGAGTTAGGTTCCATGCTCACTCGAACGCACAAAATTCACTCTGCCCACACCAAAAACACATATCTGGTTCCATGGTTCGAATTATATGTTCTTATGACCTGATGCGCATGCTACAAGGAAACTAATTTTCAGATTTAGTAGCCCAACTTCGTGCCAGACCGCCCGTGTCCCTTAATCCCACCCTTCGCATACAATTAGAAACATTTTTTTTCAAAATTACAGACAACAGCCGCCTAATTGCATGTTTCAGGAATATAAAAGAAAAAAAAAAAGAACAAAAACTGACTTGATTTCTTAAGTTCATGGTACAGCCGGCCTACTCTCTTGCCCACCCCTTTTTGTTGCTTAATTTGGCGCATAAGAGGAAGGACATCATCTGTTAAATATCTGTTTCATAGTCCTCCCCAGCCGAGACCCAGCCCGCGTTATTTTTTCTAATTGTTTAATTAAACCTCGTATTAATGATCATTGAGTCAACAAGATATGACTTCTGGGTTGTGAGGATGAATAGTTGAAGCTTTTTGAGCATTTTTATTATGCTTGTATTGGGAATTGATATGCTTTATTTCTGCCATCATTATGTAGCAGCTGTTCCACGGTCGACTAAACTGCTATTATTACTGGGGTTGTATACTCAAAATCAATAACAGAGATTAACAATATCAGTAGTGGCTACAAATTATGCAGTGTACCAAACTCGAACTTTTCCTGGAAATACTTGGCATTTAAAAGGCGGCCAAAAGTCACACGCAAATTATCAGTCACGTTAACGCAGAACATACCTGTGTATGATGATTTCACTAATTTAAACACACATTTGGTAGAAGATTCAATCTTGAGGTTTCATCGCAGGGAAGAGAAGAACCTCCTGTCACCAAGAAGACAGAACATGGTGAGAAATTCTGAAACAAAATAACATGCAGATAGAGAAAGAGTAGAAACCTTAATATTCTGTGAATCTGTCAGTAACATGGTCAACCGATCAATGCCCAAGCCCCAACCACCAGTAGGTGGTAAACCATATTCCAGAGCCGTACAAAATGTTTCATCCAAGGCCATTGCTTCATCATCACCAGATTGCCGATCCTGACAAGTAAAACAGACAACAGTTATTAACAATACTTTTATTAAAAAAAGCCCAAACTTATTAACGTTGTAATACATTTCATTACCTTGAGTTGTTCAGCAAATCTTTGTCGTTGTACGGCAGGGTCATTCAATTCGGTATACGCATTGCAAAGCTGAATAGTAACAGTGGTCAGAAGCATTATTCCAAATTATTTTAAATAAATAATAGACAACTCAATCTTATGATCCTACTTCATGTTTATTAACAAACAATTCAAATCGTTCGGTCAGGCCTGGTTTTGATCTGTGCCACTTCGCCAAAGGACTCATTATCTCGGGATGGTTTATGATGAATGTAGGATTTACACAAGTTTCTTCCAAAAAGTGACCCACAAGCTGCAATATGAAAATAATATAATTAGATTTCCAGCAGATAATTCATAAGAAGCTAAAAATAAGAAATAAAAATTCATGAATAAAGTGCAATAACAAGAATTGTGTAAATATAAAACTGAAACCATGTTTATAATTACTTAACAAGGTACACAATATAAAACTGAAAAAATATTTGTACCCAAGCTTCACTAAACCTGCACATTATACAAATTTATGTAACAATTCACTGAATAGAAATGTTAGAGCTCTAACAGGAGATGACAGTTATATTACGGGTGGCTAGCCGGTGTCTTACAAAGACCGGAATGCCTATAGACTAGCTCTACCCCCTATCCTAGCATTCATACATACTTCATTTTCAGAACCACAACACTCAAAATTAATGTTTGTACATCCAACATTAGAACGATTGTACTCTTCTTATCAGACCAACAGCAGTGTCAGAAAGTAACATTGAAAAGCAGGACAATTCAGAGAAAAAAAAAGGAAAGTAAACCATCTTTTACATAAAAGAAAAATTCAAAAAGGGAAAACAAGAAAGAGGATTACTTTATCCAACAAACGAGCTGTTGTCTCTGGAGGGGGACATTTAATCTCAAACTTCAAGCATGCATCCTTTAAATACTGATTAGCTTCCTCACTCGACAAATCCTTAGGAATACTTAGTCCGGCTATCTGCTCTAATCCTTCAATCATATCAATCCTTCTGTAACAATTAAAAATGCAAATCAATAATTTTAAAATATCAATATTAAAAAAAAATGACCAACTAATGTAGACTGCACACCTAAAAGGTGGAGTAAAGTCAATTTCAATAGGGTCCTTGTCAACACCATTTGCATGATACTTGATTTTATAGCTGCCTTTGGTAAGTTCCTTAACCATACCTGATTAAATGTTTTCACATCATAAGAAATATTAATGAGGAAAAAAAATGCCTGACAAAACACAATTTAAATCTTACCACTTAACATTTGCTCTGTTATATCCATTAAGTCATTGTAGTCCTTGTAAGCCATATAGAATTCACAAGTAGTAAACTCAGGATTATGAGTCAAATCAATGCCCTCATTCCTAAATTGTTTACCAATTTCATAAACACGATCCAGTCCACCAACAACCAACTCCTTAAGATACAGTTCAGGGGCAATCCTCATGAATAACCTCATGTTAAGGTCATTGTGATGTGTTACAAATGGACGCGCAGCAGCTCCACCAGCAATCATGTTCATCATAGGGGTTTCAACCTGCAAGTGATTCAAAATAGGTGAATGGATATGGAGGTAAAGAAACTCAGGGTCCAGAATCAGAATACGCAGACATGGAACTAACCTCCAAGAAATCAAGGTCATCAAGGAACCTCCTAATGTAAGAAATGACTTTAGATCTGGTCTTAAATATATCTCGAACCTCTGGATTAAGCATCAAATCCAAATGGCGAAGTCGATATCTAGTTTCCTAGAAAATAACAATTCATTCAATAAAACATATTATACCCCATACATGGATATTGAGAGAAAGATGAGGAAAAAAGGAGATAGTTCAAAAGAAATTTTTCTCTTCAGTTCAGCTTTCGCAAACAAAAGTAATAAACACATTTTTATCACGTGAAGCAGAAAATATTTTTTATCAAACTTTGAAACAAAATAATGCAATATTCAGGCAGTCATAATCATTGAAAGATGAGAATGGTTAAGATCATTACACATTATTAAATTTTATTAATAATCTTAGTATCCCTTCTAAAAATTGTCTTTGATGCAATGTGGGATGCTACGATGTTCAGAAATAAAATCCCTTTTCTTTTGCCTGTTCTTGGCAGAGCTACATCAACCTCAGCCACATTCATTAGGTTATTTAAATCATAAGAGATGAATCTCCTATAAAGATCCAGTCACCAATTCAATGGGACTAGGGACATAAGATCATTAAATAATTTCTAATAAAAAAATATAATAATGTGTAAGAATTTGAACCATTGATATATTTTAGTGGCTAAGTTTGCCTCAATTTACATTGTAAAGTGAGAGTCCTTGCTGTATAGGAGCTGGATCCTCAATCATATAGACCTTTGCAATTGATTAGTGATTCAATCAAATATATGATTTGATGTACCCTCATTAATGAAAAAACTTGGGAATATTGGTTTGATTCCAATTTGAAATTAATTCAAACCATATGAAAAAATAAAAGATTTAGATAACATCAAAACTCACCCTTAATTCAACAAGAAATGAAAAAGAAAAAGTTACCATATATATCGAGAAAACCAATCAATTTCATGCCACATATCATTGCAAGTTGCAATCAAGTTAATTCATGAAGAGAATCACAAAAGGGAGAAATGGAACAAAAAATTGAATAGCTCGTTTATCAAAAAGAATCAAAGAAACACAACATAATGCCTAACAACCCTAACAATATATTCAAAAAATAAGACAAATGAAAAGCAAGAATAATAATAACAAACATCCATCTATGGCATTTCAGTATTTTCTCAAAAACAAAAAGCGCATCCACACTGTTACCACTGCTCCAATGTCGGTTCCAACATGAGAGCACATACAAATCAATTTAAAAGACTAAAAACATTGGTAGCATATATAAATGTACATTTCATGCCAATTATACCTGATCCTTCAAAATATAAGTTTCAGGATTCCTAGCATTTCCTGGAACCCATGGACTTTTCTGCAAATTATTAAAGTAACAGCATCATTGCATAAGATCATCAAACATCATAAAAAGTCATATATATATATATATATAAATAAGCATGCTGACCTTCAAATTTGCATTATCAACAGCAGCAGCAGCAGACTTTTGCCTTGGCATCATATGCAAACAATGAGACAGCACCACAAAATTCTTGGGGAAAATACTAAGTTCACCCTTCTTACTTTTTCCTGGATAATTAAACACAGGAAAACAGTAGAACGCATTCTAACACTAGAAAATCGGAATGGAAAAATGTATGTCTGATTAGCAGGATTTAGCCCTCTGCAACAAATTAAAAGCACAGAAGTATAACAAATATGAATCTATGCAACTAAAAAACATCTGCATTTTAAAGACTAACTGCTGGTCTTAAAATGCTTCCCAGTTACTCAAAATGTGACACAAGTTCCCTAGTCTTGAGGAAAAAATCAGTAATAATATTGAAATAATCAAAAAATTTATAACTATAGTTTTTTTCCTATTTATATAGACTTTATTCATTTCAAGAAAACCTTTATTTTCAAAAATTCGTAATTGGATGTATGTGTTGTCAAGGTTACAGAATTGGAGATAAACCTCAAATGAATGAAATACAGAGTAAAAAAGATGATATGAAACTTCATGGCATCACAAACCTGGAAAACCCGTGACACCAACTATGTCACCACGCTTCACATTAGAGTGGAATTTAGAAAATTCAGCCTCATCCAAGTTTGATTTACTGCATTGAAGAGATATCAGTTATTGCATTCGTCCTACTGAAATTAAAATGGATAAAAGAAAAGAATATGTAGATTCAACAATGAGAAAAAGGCATCATTGTGAAAAAAAAATATATACTGAAGGCTATTTTCATATGTTGAAAATACAAATAATTACACCAAAATAACAAGGAGTACCACAGAAAATGCCACATTGTGAGGTAATCTCTTACATTTTCGATATTTGAATTATTACCACTAAATGTTAATCCTTTAAAAATACTGCATCGCTCCACTTAACAATGGTATAAATAACATTATGCAAAATCAACAGTATTTGTGTAATAAATTATAATAGAAGATCTAAACAGAAAGCAAATTAAACTAAATAATGTGAAGTGATTGTATTACTGTTGATTATTATTTTGGATTATATTATATGCCACGCATTTTATTTTAGATTATTCCTCCAACTTAATTATTATAAAAAATGGTCACCCTTGCTATAAATCTGGTTCAACAACATCACTAAATGTTTAGGTCTTAATAGTTGATCTGCACTAATTTGATATATCGTATTGCACAACCATAATTCCTACAAGCACACAGTAGAGTACAACAAATTTTCGGTACCTCGCATCAGCCATAACCTGGACCTTGAAGCCACCACCATGCAGGTCATAAAAGACAAGCTTAGAACCAGAAGTGCGCTTGTGCATGATGCGGCCTGAGGTTCAGAAACACAATTAGAATCATCGTACACAAACAGAAGCAACAACCAGAAACCCCAAACTATCAACACAGAAATTGCTGAGTACCAGCCAAAGAAACAGAGACATCCTCGGCATGCTGCCCATCGCTTAAACCTCCATATTCCTTAACGTACTCCCCAATAGCCATAGTGACAAAGAACTTGTGAGGATACGGGTTCTTCCCATCTGTCTTTTGAGCTGAAAGATACTTTAACCTATTTTCAAGATATTGCTGCAACGAAATCACCACAAAATTACAAAATGAATAAATATAAAATGTAACCCATTAAATATTCCACTGCAATGGCAAAATTGAAGTTATACTGTTGGGTCCATATCCTCGTCATCAGCTGGTGCAGATTTGTTATCCTTTGCCTTCTGCATTTCAGCTGCCTACAGAAAATCATATGAATTAATCATATCCTAAATAAAACTTACTTTTTGACAAGAAATCCAACGCATTATTCCAATATAAAAAAAAATGTGGAATGCCACAAAATCTTACTGAAACATACAAAAAATAAATTTCTTATAAAAGAAGTTCTCACTTATCATGACAGTGGGGAAAATGCAAATGAGATGTACCTTTTTGGCCTTCTCTTCTTCCTTGCGCTTCCTTTCTTCTTCTCTCTGTTTGTTCTTCAGTTCCCGCTTCAGCGCACTGCACAAACAAAAAACCCTTTCAATTGAGGCACAGTTATTATGAATTGAATTTGGCATTAAGAAAAAAGGGATTGGCGCACTGACTTCTTGCTTATGGTTTCGCCGGTGCCGGCGGATGGTGCCTCGGAAGGGGTTTCCATTGGTGGAGAGAGAGTGAAAGAGAGGGTTTGGATGAGAGTGTGAGAAGAACTAGGGTTTTTGAGAAACTGTGTTTATCTGCGTTGTAAACCTGCGACGACGTTTTGGCTCTAACTTCACTTCCACCAACAGTTGTGTTTATTACTTGAACTGGTGCCGTCTATTATTTATTAGTATGTATATTACTTTTTTTTTATGTGTCTAACTGGGCTAATTTATCTAAAAACATATATATAATAAACTTTTTATAAAATTAATATTAAGTTGATTAGACATTAATATATAATATATTGTTAATTTGGTTATTTGATATTTTTACTATGAATCTCATATAACAATTTTTTACCACAATGTAATATTTTATACATTTAATATTAGTATGGGTAACTCTTCACTGACCAAATCCTGTTAAATATTTTAAGGAGGTGTATTGAATATTTAAAAACAATTAATATGTAACTATAGTATATGGTATACTAAATAAGGACATATCGTCCTATAGTAAGTTAAATTATACACAAATTATATTTTTTTAAATATTTGTTAATTAATTATGTTTTATATAATTTATATTGTTATTTTACCATACAAGCTGTTCTCAGAGTAAAACATTTTAACAAATAATTTGTTAATTAATTATAAGTCAAAAGTTTACAAATTTCATTGTAATTATCTCCTCGTCTATTGTTATGATTTGATAATTTAAAATACACGACATTTCCTATCGAGCGAGACCAGTAACCTAACCTCTTTATTGATTTAGACATTGACTCTTTTTTTTACATTGATTTTAACTCTTAAAGGGTGTTTGAGTAATATGACAATTGCATAACCTTAATCTAATCAAAATTCCTACTAAAAAATTTATAAATTATTTAAGCTGTCATGCTTATTTTAGTGAAATCAATAAAATAAGATAATTATGTTATTTATTACAAAATTTATAAAAAAAAAAAACATAACTAGCGTGATCATATTATCCATGTGAAAAGTTCTTAGTTTTATTATTAACTAAGAAAAATATCAAACTCAACCAACCTAGTGTAGCTTGAGTTGTATTGTAATTTTACATGGTTCACTTAACAACGGACTCGCATTTAATTTTAATTCAAAATTAAGATTACAAATCATGTAAATATAACAATATATAAATGACAATCCAGATAAAAACTATAGACTTGTTTAAACCATAAATATATTCATTAAGATGAATAAAATAGTTATTAGTCTATTTTAAAGACAATAATTTGGCCAGTAATTTATCTGACTAGTTTATAAATTAAATATAGAAATGTTTGGTGAATGCTTTAAAGCAATTTATTTTATAGGTTTCTTATACATTTTCAACTTATAATTTATTTAGTTGGTATTTTTTATAAAAATAAATAAATATTATTATTTGATTCGATTTGACAGTGATAATTAATTATTTAACTATTTTTAGTATTCTTAAGGTTATTTCATTGTTTTTTATATTTAAATTTAAAAAATAACATTCAAATTAAAGTAATTAATGTTTCATTTTGATGGTTTTATAGTTTAAGATTTAATAATTCAAATCGATAAATATTTTTTAAATAAATCAATACTAAATTTGATTAATACTCATTTATCAACTTATTTAAAATAAAGTGACTTATTCTAATTGAAAAATATAACTTAGAAAAATGAAATATAAAGAAAATGTTTACTGATACGTTTTTAAAGAAAATACTTAATAATATATATTTCTTTAAAATATAAATTTTATTTATACAATAACATTTATGTAATTATATAAGTATGTTATTCTACATTTAGTTATTATTAGTTAGTTTAGGAACATCATCGTATGAATTTTCGGAAAAAAAAATCTCAAAAAGGTAGATAACATTTAAAAAAAATGTTTACAATAAAATAGTATGATTAATTTCAAAAGGATAATGCGTTAAAAACAATAAAACAACATATTTTTGGTTTGGTTCTTAAACAAATAGCAAATGATTCACAATAAATAGTCACAAATATTTTTAACATACAAATATGCATCAGATGTCATTAAAACTAAAATTTATTTAATAATAATTTATGCATAATTATGATGGAAAACAAAAAGGGTTTAGTGAACAATTTCTAAGAAAAAGATGTAAAGGAAGAAGGAGTCAAACGTCCTTGTGATTGGCGGCATGAGATTTTCCATGGCCGAAAGGTAACTTTCTTGGGTGTGGTCAGGTCAAGTATCACCTCATACTTATTATATTTTGTTATACTTTTAATTTTTTTACACTATTTTGGAATTAACTTTTATTATATTTTACTTTTTTCTGTTTATAAATATAAAATTTAATTTTTATGAGTATTTTACTTTAACATGAATATTAAATGATTGTGAAATGGTGTGAAATAATCTTATTCTATTTAGATACGTAGAGTTGGTGTAAACAAAGATGGCAGTTTAAGGTTCAAATGGGTTTCATTCCAAAGTTTCCATTCTCACCACTCTGTGCCACCAAGTAGTGCTTTCGTACAAAACTAAAAAACTGAATTAAACTATTTATTACATTTAAATGTAATGTTTAATGTTGAGTAACAATTAATTAACACGTAATGTGTTTTTTTAAATTATTTTATAGTTTGATGTTACTCAAACAGTATATATTATTCACACCCGTTGTAAGAAAATAATGAATTTATTTATAGCTTTAACTATGTAATTATCCAATTTATTTTCCAATCATATAAAATCAAAATTATAAGAAATGTTTATATCTTATGTTTTTGTTCCGAAAAATAAAATTAGTATATTTTATTTTATCCAAGAGAAAAACAAATTATCAAAACCTCTTTTGATTAAAAATTTTATGATTATTTTTAAGGAAAAATAATTTGTTCCATTATCATATTGATGTTTTGTTTATAATTAAAAGAAATACAAATTGTTTTTATTCTTCAAAAATAAAAGAATAACCAAAACAAAAAGATAATAACTTTTTAAAATAAAAACCAATATAAAGATTACAAAAATAATAATTATTTTTCAATTTTTTTATACAATAGTATTTATCAATAAAATTTAAACCGAAAAGAAGTCGAATCTAGATCCAATTTGAGTTAATAACTTTAGATATCTTTTTGGACGTTTAATATTCATTTATTTTTTTTATGGAGTTAGGTCTCAAACAACTAGAACGATACATAACTTATTAGTTTTGTTTTAGTTGACAAATAATAGTTATTATTTGTGTTAAGCTTGGTTTAAATTAATTTTTTAAGTTAGTCTCCAATCATGCTAAATTAGTTACTTTAAACGAATATTTTTATTTCCAAAGTCGAGTTTAAAATTTCTTCTGCTTTGTGTTGTTAGATTGGTATACATTTCAACATAAAAAAAATAGTGAAATCAAATACAAGATACTTTTGAAAAAAATCGAAAATAATGCTTAAAAATCATCTTATTGTTTTAACTCATCATAGGTCTCTTAATAATAAAAAATTAAAAAATAAGAAAAATAATTAAATAAGTTAATACATAATTATATTATACATTTTTTATTAATACGTGAAAGCATATGCGTTATTTTTTTTATGATAATAAAAAATAATAAAAATAATAATATTTTTTATTGTTACTATTATAAATATAAAATTAAATATGAATAATTTTTATTATTTTACTGTAAATAAGTTTTACTTGTTTTGTAGATAATTGTTTGATTAAAAAAATATTAAGTTAAAAAGAAACAGTTAAATTTTGAAAAAAAATAGTTAAAATTCAAATAAACAACCAAAATTGGCAAAACAGTTATTTTAACTGAAAAAACTTTTACCAAAAGATCAAATTGTAAAACAAATATGGACAAAAGAGGAATCCTTTTAATACGTATAAATCCACTAGTTTAATTAATTAGAATAATAAGAATAATTGTAAGGGTATGTAAAGGGCCTTTGGGCTTTATGTGGGGCAGCCAGACTCATCAGATTAAAGACACATGATTTTAGCAAGAGTCTTTCTCCTAAGTCAGTTTTCCACTCTGTCAACTTTTTCTTTTTCTCTCTAAAAACTCATCTTCTACATATTGTTCTGCCTTCTCTCTAAAATACCCTATTGAACCATTCAATTTTTGAAGAGGTGGTGCTCAAACGTTCACCGCGTCAAGGGCTCCGTAATGGACAATTTTTGTTCCAACCGGTAAGTCACTTTCTCCTTTTCTCCACTGTTTCTAGCACCTAAGGCATTGTTATTTTACTGAATGCATGTTACTAGAAGTGTTTTACTTCAAATTTGTGGTAATTTCTAGCCTAAAAAGCTAATTCTATCACCATTGGTTATTTATAAGGTGTCTTTGAATTTTGTTGTGAGAAGCACTATTTAGATAAGTAAACTATGAAGTTTTCCAAGGAGCTAATTATTTTTGTATGAATTTATTTTATACAAATATATGCAGGTTGAATGTTGAACTGGTGTGTTCTTGTGAAGTTGTTCTACAATGTTAATTTTTATTGGATAATTATAACTGAGACTATGAAATTGTGCTTAGATAATTTATGCTTTGGTGTTGAACTGGTACATGTGGCAATTATGTTTGTAAGTGTCTATCCTGAAATTAATCTGTTTTGGTTGAAATTTTTCTGGTTTGAAGGTTTGGGAGTAAGGGCTTTGTGATAGCATGTATATGGGCAGGTACTATTTAAAGTTACTGTGAGGGGAAGGGTGATATATATAATTGGGTATTTGATGTCTAGAACATTGTAAGACAGTTTTAATAACTTAGATAATTAAATCATAACTTGTTAAAAGTCTTTCTTTGTTGGTAGGATAGAGGGGACTTAAAAACCTGAGTTGGCACATCCCTGATCATAGA